TGCCACTACTCTCTTCAACAGAAAAAATGTATAAAAGCCAACAACAGCCAGCAGTTGCCATATCCAGCTCCCTCTTCCTCCCTGCCTCGGTGCCCTAGAGACCAATGTCATTACAGTCTGACCCCATGAACCCAATCATCGGAGTTGCTAGCAACGCAGTAAAAACGTCACCCATAACTTACCTGCATTGCGGCCAGATCAGCCTCCAGCTTCCTTTTGTGAGCCAAAAATGAGGCCGCCTGAGCCGCCAGTTCAGTGACCCGATCTGCTGCCTCTGTTCGCTCAGCTTCGGCGATTTTTCGGATACGCTCGGCCTGCTCCAAATTGGCACGAAACTCTTCGAGCTCGACGCCGAGAATGTTGGCGCGGCGTTCTGTAGATCCGAGAGCTTCACGAAGTTCTTCTCGATTTCGTTGCTCTTCTTCAATTTGTGCTTGCATTTCACGCACCTAAAGGGGATCCAGATATTATGTGATCATTAAACGGGCATGAATGTGCAGTAATGGGGCAAAATGTGTAATTTATACGAAGAATAGTTGGGTTTCTATTACTCTTTTAAGACAGAATTTTTATGAAGAATTGCATTTTGCGTGACTGTGCTTGATGCCACTTAAAGACTCCTGTTGCAATGAAGCCCTTTGGCTTAAATACAACATTCAGGCTGACAGGGTATCCTCCTTCGTTTCGGATGAAAACATGCTGACCCTTTTTTCGGTTCGTTCCTTTCATATTGTTCTAAGTATCTGTGCTTGAGCATTTATGCATGCGTGTACATTAGCATCAGTACCCGTTAACTTCAGAGTACGAGATGTCGAACATAACCAAGGTTAATTTCAATAGTTAACTGAAGGAAAGCAGGGTCTTGACGACTCTCACTAGAAACGTTAATCCGGCTTGGCTTTTCATTTCAGAGGAAAACTTAGCTAGTTTAGCAAAATGATGCAATTTTGCGTAAACTATTGTATCTAGCACAGACAACAGCTCGGCACGAAGACATCGAGATCATGGGACGGCAAGCATAGGTCATTGTTAATCAAATCTACAGTCACTTCACTAATCTCGTTTAACCAACTTTTTTCTCAAGATGACACCTCGATACTTTTCTTAACGCAGAGTTAAGCTGACTCTTTTGCTACAGGACAACGGGAAACAGCCATTTCTAGAGAGGCCTAACTACTTGTACAGTTATAAGCAACGATCATCAATTCAAAAGCCAAGGTGTAATTAAGGAATGTACAAAAAGGTTAACAGAATTCAGAATGAAACTCCGACATGCATACGAGAAGCAAAATAAAAAAGCTCATACAAACGCAAAAACATCCTCTTGCCTGCTGTTGATACTTCTTTACATTCTTCTCCATCTCAGCTCGGGCTCGATTGGCGCTGTCACAAGCCACTTCGAGCTCGTTGATGTCCTGCTCCAATTTCTTCTTCATTCGCATCGCTTCCGCTTTCCCCTTTGCTTCGGCATCCAGGCTGGCCTGCATCGACTCAAGCGCTCGTTGGTGATTCTTGCGGGTCGCCTCGAACTCCTCCTCCTTCTCGGCTAGCCGGCGATCAATCTCTTGACGGATCTAAACATTGAACCAGACAACGAAATAAGTAGTGAAATAATAAAGGTCTAATCAAGAAAATGTTAGTAGAATGCATTTATTAAAAAGGACAACAAAAAAGTCAGAAAGTGCCTGATCGATTATTTTCAGTGAAGAGCATTTACTACTGATATTCTTGGAAGTAGTAGTATACGTTGATGAGAAGCGTTTTATGAAAAAAAATATAATAATGACTTAGTAAGAGAT